TTTTAAACGATTTCTCTAGCTTTTCTTTCAAAATTACTTTCAGAACCATTTCTTTTTCGATCTAGGGTTTTCTGGAAAAATGTTTAAGTGTTTCTCTGACTTTCTTTCTTTTTTCTTTTGTGTGCATCAGCCTCTACTATGTTCTTATATTTTTTTTGTTCTACCACGTTCTTGTATGCTTCTTCTACTATGTTTTCTGTTCTTGTATGCATCTCCTACTGTGTTTTCCTATACTATGTTCTCGTATGCTTTTCTACTATGTTCTAGTACTTTCTTCTACCACGTTCTGATATGTTTCTCCTACTATATTTTTCTACTGTGTTCTTAAGTGTTTTACTATTTTCCTTCTACTAAGTTCTGTTTAAGTTTCTTCTAAAAACTTCTCAGCATGTTTCTGCTACCGATCTTATCAGTCTTTTCCATTACGTTTCGTGTTAGCTTCTTCTACTCTATTTTCTTTGAATTCTTCCGCTATGCTATGCATGTTACTTTTCTATCATGTTTCTCACGAGTTTTAGTTGTTGAGAGAAACATGGTAGAGATTTCAATTCTTTCTAAGACCTCTGAACCTATTTTGAATCTCTGAAATAAAACATTTGTTCTTCATATGATTCCAGCTCTTGCTAAGCTCTTCTACACTGGATCTTCTTCTGATTTTACAATGAAACCACAGTCTTTTCCATGCTTAACATGTTCGTATGCTCCTTATATATGATGAATTTCCCTCTAAAATGGTTTTCAAATTTGCAATTAGTTCAAACTTCCTTCTGAATATGGCTTGATTGATTTCTTTCCATTGTTTGCTGATTTTCTCTGTGACTCGGCCTAAGTTAATATCCTTCTTCATCTTTTTTGACTCGGTTCATTTATGCAAAATCTCAGACCATTTTGATTTACTGCTTGTTAATTGATTTGCTTACCTTATTTGCACAAACCGTGTATTTCAAAACCTTGTCCTTAAATAACCTTTATGTACTTGCCCCTAATTGCATGCTTTGCACAAAGTGTTTATTTAATTTCTTTCCTTAAATGGTTTTTACCTGTTTTGAATCTGAATCCTTTAATTAAAGGGAGTCTTGTGTAATTGATTGACAATCAGTTCCTCAACTATTTTCTTACCTTATTTCTGCCTGACTTTACACTATAAAAGGCACGACCCTCTGCACAAACAACAACATTTTCACAATCCTTCTGAAATCTTACTTACACATAATAGTATTCTCTCTTCTTGTCTACACTGTGGCTTTTACAAGACTACTGCCATTTTCTCTGTTTGTTTCTTTGAAACTGGTATGTCCTAATTTAAGCTTCAGCATCATCACAATGTGTTCATTTACAGCTTTTATATCCATGTCTACTTTACTATTTCTGTAAAGTTCAATATTTAAGTTAGTATGCTCATATCTTTCTGCCTGTTTCTGCTGCGAATCCTTGCTCCCTATCCCCATCACCCCAATGTGTTTGAAAGCTGTGACTTAAGGCATGGCAATGTGAGTTGTTGCCCATGAATTAAGTTTAAACCAATGGGGGTCTTATCCTCTAAGCAAACAAGTTGGAGGGTGTGCCAGCATCTCCCATTGCTGGGTGTGCCCATCAGCCTACTTTTCTTTTGCTCTTGCAAATTCCCCCATTTCCCTACACCCTTATGTGTACTGATTTTAAGTTATTCCCCTTTTCCCTTTTCCCTTTCAGAATTCTACTTTCGCACTTGCACTTCCTCTTAGTTCCTATGTTCTGCCCCCTCTTGTGAGCCTTGCCTTGGGACCTTGAGTTCTTTCTAAACTTGGACACCTGAGGGCTGGCCCTTCTACACTGCACTATGGCTTTATCTGGTGATACATTTGGGTGTAAGCACTGCCCGGAGTTCTTATGAAACTCTTAGGGAACTTTGACACACCCCAAATGGGAGAAAGGTTTTGAAATATGATCTCTTAGAGTCGATTTACTTCATACTTCAGACAGGAAGTCTGAATCAGGCTCTCCTTGGTTGTATTTTTTATTTCTGATGTATTTTTCTTTACTTTATTTTTCTGGGCTGTAATAACTTTGTAATAAAACTCTCGGGGATGGCTAGTGAAAAGGGAGGGGTAACTATGTATGCAAAAAGGGGTAGATAACCTACCTATCGGAGTTTATGAATTTCTGTACTTCCATATAGATACCATGTCTATAGAAGTTTTTGAATTTCTGCACTTCCATATAGATACCATATCTATATGAGTCTCTGATTTCTACACTTCCATATAGATATCATGTCTATAGGATTTCTGCATTCTCATATTAACCTGCCTATAGGAATTTCTGCACTCTCATGTAGATACCATATCTATAATTATTCGAAATCTGAATTCTGCATATGCATGTAGAAAATATGCCTATAGGATTTTCTGAATCTTGCATATCCACTTCTTATAAGGCAAACATGTTTATAGGTCTTAACAACCAACTGCAATTGGATATCATGTTCATATAATACACAGTACCTAGACATCATGTTTATAGGATTTATGCATTTCATTATGTCTATAAAGGTGTCCTAAAGTGGACAAACACATAGAAAGCATATCTATAGGAGCTTTAATCTGAATCACCTCACTCGTTTATAAGCCTAAAATCAGCAATAATAATGCATTACCAGTTGCAGAACTGTCCATCTTTTGCTAAAACTCGCCTTTCTTTCTTCAGTATGTAATCAATTCATTCATTGTTTCTGAAATCAGTAGACATCATGCTTTTGAAACCACAAGTAAGCCCATACATACTTTTCATTTGTTTATATGCTTCCCCATACTTGCCATATATGTTTTGTTTTTCGCCTTAGTATTTTTACCTTTTGAAACCACAAGTAAGCCAAATATCCCTCCCCTTTAGGATTAGTAGTCCCAAATGCCTCTGGGACTGATAGGACTAAGGCGGGTAATAGCATGCAATAAGTAAACGAGACCATTCCATGCTTTAATACCTCAACGGGGTAGGAGGGTAGATATGGATATGATGACTACGCGGTAACATCACGTGTAGCCCCTCACTGAGGAGTGATTACTGGATGTTGCGTGGGGTGATCCATATTATTTACAAACTTAGGACCCTTTTTCCTTTATTTTTTTGTTTCCTTATTTATTCTCAAATTTCAAATTATTTTCTTAAAAAAATCAGCTTTTCTTTTAGTTCTTTTAACTTCACCTATTTTGTAACCATTACGTGAAAATCCCCTCTTGTTTGAAGTTCTTATTTGCCTACGTAATATTTGTACCTAAAGTCACAACAATGGTTTGGTCCGGAACCACACTAGTGGATCCTGAGGGGTGCCTAATACCTTCCCTTTGAAATAATTTCATGCCCTTACCCAATCTCTGGTTGCTCAAATCAAACCCTTCTTAGTGTCCTAATGCACTTAAATCATTAGGTGGCGACTCTTCAATTCAAACCCAATTCCCGAAAGGGAACGAGTTGTCCTCCCGAATGTCATAAGCCCGATTTCGCGAGAAAAAGGGGGCGCGACAATGTTATTTTAGACATAGGGTCTCCACTCCCTAGTCACTTTTTCAACATAGAGTCTCCACTCTCTAGTTAATTTTAGTTTAGATATAGGGTCTCCACTCTCTAGTTTCTTTTCTAACATAGGGTCTCCATTCCCTAGTTGATTTCATTATAAATATAGGGTTCCACTCCCTAATCTATTTTTCCCAGGGATGCACAATCTTGATTTTATTGCTTTCAATAAAGAAATAGTTTAGATTTTGTTACTATAACTCACAAAATTTTTCTAGTGAAAACTGGGCCAGAAAATTTTGTTCGCTTGTTTGCTTTAGTGCCTAAATAGGTTTTCACCGTGAGGCACAAGATTTGAGATGACCAAAAGAAGAAGTCTCAACCCAAATAAAAGAAAAGAAGAACCAGAAAAGGAGTTGAACTCTGAGTGTAGAAGCGGAGAAAAGATGCGGAATACTCAAAATTTGATTGAAGTCACAAGCTTCGCGTGTCCCGCCTTGATCCGAAAAGCTGAAGAAGAATGAACCAGCAGTTGCAGCTAACAAGCATCAAGATTCAGATCCGAGTCTATAGGAAGAACCATCCAAGACTCAAGATCAAGCTTCAGAAGGTTTATAGATAGGAATCTTGTAACTCGTAGCTGATAGACTTAGTTAGTCTTTTTAATTTTTGATTTTGATGTAATAACAGGACAACGGACCGGAGCCTCGACGGAACCTCACTCAACTCTTGAACACATCACTCCATCAGCCTTCCAAAACTACACCGACATGATTCCTTTATAGCCAAGGATGTGTAGTCAACCTCCGAAGCAAGGTTCGGTCAAACTTTTCCAAAATGCTTCCAAATGGAGTTTCAAACGGGCAAATATTGCTCGTAATTGCTCATTTTATATTTTCCCGAAAACTCTTCATGTTTCTGAGCAAAGTGGTGCAGATGTGAGTACCTAATTTTTGTCCTACATGAAAATAACTCCTAAAAATAAACCAAAAATAATTTTTAATGGATTTTAGAAGTTTTTCTTTATTTAGTTGCATTTCATGCATTTTTAATATTTTAAAAATTATAGAAAAATGATAAAAAAATGTCATGTTTTAATTTCATGTCATTTTAGGTCCAATTTGTATTTAGGAATTTAATTTCATAATTTAATTGCATTCATTAAACAAAAATCACAAAAACAATTGCTACAATAGTCATGTCCACATTTTAGCGTTTAATTTTAAATTAATTGGTGTTAAATTAGTAAAAATAAGTAAGATTAACTTTACAAATTAATTAAGCTAGAGTCTAATTTAGGATTTTATTTAGCTTGTTTAATTAATTCAATTGGATTTTTGAAATCGAAAGAAAAACAAAGCAAAGAAGTAAATTTGATCTTTCAATTTCGTCTGGGCCAGCTTAACTTGAAGCCCAAAAATTCCAAATTACCCAAGCCAAAAACATTGAGCTCATACCCATTCCGCATTTGACCTAACATAATTCCTACCCTATAAAATAATCCTTAACTCCTAAATTAAAATAGACCTTAGAGACCTAGACTTTTGGAATCCGCCGTTTACACCAAAGGACACCCCCCAATTCCCCAAAATCGATCACTCCCTAGGAGGACCCCTGCAAAATCCCCACGCCTCTGCCTCCCATTTCCATAACCCATCTTATCAAACAAGCTAATAAACCCATTTTCCCATTCAAATCGATACCATTTTTCTCGTTAGTCCATGACTCTAATACGCTAAATCGATGTCCCTAGCGACTTCAACAGTGGAAATTGTTGTCCCAAAAGATTTTCTATATAATTCCGCCACCTCCAATCATACAGACCTCCTTGTTCCTTATTTATGTTCCATGGATAGAATCTAATTGAAGCTGCGTTTGGAGTTCGAGTTCTGCGGCGCCGATCGAGGTCCGTTCGTGATTGATAGTTCCTGTTGCTTGGCTGGTGTTTGTCGTGGATTTTCGCTGCCGGATTTACTCATATTTGATTGCGAGCAGAATTAATTAAAGATGCATTCAGGTTCACTTCTTCCTTCTATTTTTATATTTATTATGAATCAAAGCCATAAAGGGGAGCCATTTTAAGATAGGCTAATCAGATGTAGTTTGGGGTTTAATCGATTTCTCTTTCTAATTTTGGCTGATGGTTATTGTCACCCCATGAGTTTCCTTTCGGTGAGTGTCTTAGTTAGAGTTTGAATAAATTAAAATATGCTTGATTCCCTGGTTTAGATTACCTTCCTACTGATTTCCTTATGAATAATGTAGAATGAGTTTTCTGTTTGGAAATATTGTAAATGTTGATAGTGCTCGAAAGGTTAATTCAAGTTCGTCGTGGTAGGCTCCTTATCTGACTTGATTCTTCTGTTTGTGGTAGATTCCTTATCTAACTTGGTTTTGTTGTTTGAGTTCTCTCCATGTCTTGACTCTTTAATGTTAAGATTATGCTTCGTGTGATTTGAAAAGTTATTATGAAGTTACATATATGAAAATCGTCATTTGAGATAAATATGATTCCGAGTCGATCTTAAGGACGGAACAAAGTTTGGTACTTCATGTTTTTTTTTCAGAAATGAGATTTTCTGCATGTTGGTTTGCTTCCCGTCAACTGATTTGAATGGGTAACAAGTAGTGAAGATCTTTCGATTTGCTTAGATCGTAAAGTGAAAGATAACTTTTCCGATTGTTTAAGGACCTTGCTTGTCTCAATGGTTATTAGATCAAATTTTGAAAGCATAATATAGCACTGCTAGTCATGTTGTCCAGCATGTCATTCATATTATAAACTTGTCACATTGGTTGTTCTAAGAGTTATTTTCGTTGTGCCTGACCAAAGAATTCCTACTGATCCTTTGAACCCCATGCGCCAAAGTAATATTCTGGTGGTCGAATTTGATTAAACATGTGCTCTTTCTTGTTAAAATATTCAAAAGCTGATGAAATGGTCGTGTAGGGAATCTGTACTTTTGCCTTCAATTTTGAATGCTAATGCCCAATTGTTGATTTGCTTTATTTGACCGTATTTAGATGCTAATTGGGTAATGTATTACCGTATGGCCTCTGTTGGTTAATTTGTAAGTATAAAAGTGAAGAAAGGTTTGTATGACGTTGGTTCTAAGGGTTAAATTTATGGGCTTTAGGATCTCACATATCAAAAAATTAGGAAAATTGGGTTGGTTAGAAATATTTTAATGGCTCCTCTTAATGGCTTTGCCTTACTTTTTCTTTATTATATTTCAGGCCTTCCTTAGTTCTTATCTACTGAATGTTCTTCTGTTTGTATGCTCCATTGCTTGACTCTATCGGCTTTGAAAGATGAATGCGGGCCGTGCGAGTGGGGAAAGGCCGAGCTTATTAGTAATTAAATTGTTTACATGTCCTAGGAATCGAGCTTGGCCAAATACATAAAAATGAAAATTCAAGTGAATATGAGCATGATTTAGAATTTCCCCTTTTATCTAGTTTCCTTTTATTTATTTATTTATTTATTTATTTTGTTATATTATCCGCTAGGAGCATGTTAGGTCAACCATACCTGGGTAGGCGAACCTTTAGGCGCATTTTGAATTTATTATCATGATTATTTACACGTTTGCGTGAAATGATTACGGTTTCTAATAATGAACACTCGTAGCTTGCTTTAGGCGTGACTTAGACTATTACTGTGATTATGTATACGTTCGCGTAACATAATTATGAATTCAATTCTAAAAAGTAACTCGAGGTATGCGTTCGCGCAACTTCGATAAAATTTTCTTAAATAATTGACAAAGCATCATTAATTGTGGACACGTTCGCGTGACATAATTTTTGACGCGCCAAAGAAAATGAGTGTACATACGCATAACTCAATTCTTCAATTACGAATAAATCAAGTGATTAAAAGCGGGAAAAGGTAAGTGCACATAGGTCCTAAAAATGAGTAGTTTAAACATTTAAGCCAAGTAATAATCACTAAGCGACCGCTCTAGAATCACGGAACCCTTGAATGTCTAACACTTTCTCCCGGGTTAACAAAATTTCTTAACTAGAATTTCTGGTTCACAGACTTTTTAATAAAGTTGAAAATTTCCTCGATTTGGGATTTTAAAATAAACCGGTGACTTGGGACACCAAATAAATTATTCCAAGTGGCGACTCTGATAAATTAAATAATCTCATTTCGAATAATGTCACTTTAATTGGAAAACTTCCCTTATACCCCCTTGGGTGGTAAAAAAGGAGGTGTGACAGGGGTAAGTCCGTGCATAGTGTTCAGGAGAAGATAAAAAAGAGAAAGCCTTTGGTTAGGAGTGTCAAACGGGCAGGTCGAGTCAGATATGGTTCTTGTCGAAAATGGGTAATAAAAAAATGGATAAATTATCCGACCCCGCCCATATTTAATATGGATAAAAAATGGTTAATTGGCGGATAATATGGGTAACATTATTATCCATGAATTCTTGCATATGATCACTTTTGGGAGAATTCTTAGTCTCCCCTATCTTGAGGAACCCCAATTTGAGGCTTTACAAATGTAAAAGTTAGACTCATTGGTTATCCATTGCTTACCCATTGGTTATTCATTTTCTAAATGGATAATATGGTTCTTATCTATATTTGACCCGTTTTTAAAAAGTTCATTATCCAATCCATTTTTTAGTGGATAATATGGGTGGTTAACTGTTTTCTTTTAACCATTTTGCCACCCCTACCTTTGTGAATTGGGACCATATATCTAAGTAACGACTATCAGAATATCTATCTCTAAGTCTCAACAACAATAACAACATACCTAGTATATTCACATAAGTGGGGTTTGGAGAGGGTAGAGTGTACACAGATCTTAACCCTACCTTTAAGTAGGCAGAAATGTTGTTTCCAGAAGACCCTCAACTCAGGACGGGAAGAGGGAAAGGGCATTAATAACAAGCAAACCGATGTGACAACTAAAGCAAAATACAAAACTAGCAATAGATAATGCAATCAGGAAATCGAAATAAAAGACAACAACAAGTAGTAACAGAGGTCTAGGTATACAAAAAAAAACACAAAAAACACCAAGTGGTGTATCAGAGTTGCTTCAGTGAGATAAAGCAACGCCATATCTCGAGTGTCAACGATATTCAAAATTAGAAAACAGTTGCCAACAAAAAAAATTCACATATTACAATTTCATTGCTGCATTTTCTTGAACGAAATATCCATATAGAATTCTAAACGCTGTTTTACTTTAGTTGGTCAATTTACCCTATTTGAATGTCTTGATCCAAGTTTGACTGAGGTGTCAGGAGAAATTAAAAAATAGTCAGATTTACAAGTGGTCCTTTAAAAATAACCACAGTTTTAAAAATAATCGAAATTTAACCACTTTTCATGTAAAGATAAATCTGAACGAAAATACTGTTCAAAATCCGAGAAAATACTCCAGTATAATGTACTGGAGTTCCAGCATAAGTATACTGGGACTCCAGTATAATGTACTGGAAGTTCATACACAGGTGCACAGATCTTCAGTATATTATGCTGGAACTTTCCATGTTGCAGCAAAATAGTGACTATTTTTCAATAACTTTACAAACGCTAGCTATTTTTGAATAACCATTCCGAAAACTGGCTAGCCTGTGCTTATAGCCAAGATTTCATAACCCATTTGAAATGTCAGGTCGAACATCTGAAAAACGGGGGCCTTCTAACAATTGGATTTCAAAAGAAGAATTAACCCAAATAGCCGCTCATCAAATCACTTAAACTAAAAATAGGCGAAAATATAATATATATATATATATATATATAAATCAACGTATAAGCTATATATGGGTAAAAAGTAAATAATAAATATAGCCGGCTATTTGTGTAAAGATCCTGATTTTAAATGCTGTAATTGGGTCCAAAGTTATCAGGGCCCAAACGAACTACCGCCGAACAGATTTTCATGTGCATACCAATCCTAAAAACAATTATTAGCAAGATTTCAGTTAAAGATTAGGCTTAGAAACTAAAGCCGAAAAATATTAGCAATTGACTGTCAAATCCCACCAAACAAATATAAAAATAGAAGAATTTGAATATTCAACTCCTAAATTTTATACTTGTTCCCTTTCAAAATCAAGATTCGTCCAAAAAAATTCCAAACATTCACCAAAAATCAATCTCACAAGTTCCGATGATTTCATGGCTGTAACATGTATAATTCTATATATACTATATACATTGTTACGCTTATAATAGGTATATTATATTATACTAGTATTAGTACTCTCGCGATGCGCGAACATTATTAGGTTGTTTAGCCAAGCTTCTTTTGAGGCAACAATGTTTTTTTTTCTCTAAAACTAAGGTGTTTGGTTAAGCTTTTGGAAAGAAAATGATTTTGAGGAGAAGCACAAGCAGTTTAAAATAATGTACTTTACGATCAATTGCAACGACTTGTAGTTACACTATTCGGGCATCAAAGAAAATGATACTCCTGTAAAAAAATTTGTCAAAAAATGATATTACGTTATTGTTGGAGAAATCAATTAAATTTTAGGTAATTGCTTTATAAGATATTTTTAATTTTTTTTTATTATAAGTGTATTAGAAGAACATTACGTTTATTAATTGAAATTTTTGTTTAAATGTCCTTTACCATTATTATTCATGCTTTTCATAAAATTGTTTATCTTTCAATTTAAAATAATTCTTTTTATATTCCCGTACAAATTCGAAATCTTTATATATAGAAAGTGTTAAGTTTACTAATTGAAAACTTTTGTTTAAATAATATCTTCACTATTGTCTCATTGTTTTTTAAGAAGATGTTTATCTTTTAATTCGACATTATTATTTTTATGTTTCAAGAGCCAGTTTGGATGGGCTTAAACAATATCTTTTGTTTTTATATTTTATATTTCAAGAGCCATAAGTTAGGAATTCTAGCTTTTGGCTTTTGGCTTATTTTTATCATTTTAGCTTAAAAATAAGTGCTTAAAAATATTTTTTTTTTACTTTGTCCAAACGCTACAAAATGATTTAAAAGCTATTTTGANATTACCCTAAATCTTATTAGATTTTGTCCTAAAAGTGCCATGTGGCTTAATATTGTTGTCCACTGCACTATTTTATATATCATAAATATATATATATTTTCTTACAATTATACTCCAGATATACCAAAGAAATAACAGTTTTTGTTATTTGCAAAAGCAGAAAAGTGCATAAGAAGTTTTGAAGATAAGCAATGAGAATTAATCCATAATAAATATGCAGTGCAACTCAATTCGACATCCCTTTTAAATATGCTTACCATTTCAAGTCATGTTCTTTTGAGACATGCACTAATGAGAAAATGACTCAGAAATTAGCACCTCCTTCCTTAACTTTCTTAGTCAAAGATATGGTTACATTTAAATAGCAAAACATTTGAAAACAAAAAGAATATCAATAAAGCTCTAAGTACAACAAAGAAAAAATTGAATGAAAATTTAGAATAATAACATATAAAGATTATTTTTTTTTTCAAAGTATCATAAATAAGAAAGAAAAAGAGAATACACAAATGGGAAAGGCACTACAGAAGAGTTTGCACAATTTTTAGATGGATCTGACCTGCTTTATCATTTCCAGAAAGAAGAGTATATATACATGAGTTTAAGCTCATACTCCCTAAAATTTCTCCTAAGAATATTCTCAAAATATCATATTCCTATAATATCTTTAAAATACCACATCTCTAACAAATATAGATACACAATATACAGTTACTATATTTACACATTTACAAATTTTACTTAATAAAAAGAGATCCAACTCTCTAGATTTAACAATGAAGCACAAATAAAAATTTATAAGGCCAGCTAAATTTCTTTTTATAGAATTATAATGCTTCTTTCTTCCTCTTTGGTTTAGCTCATCAAATATGGATGCATAGGGGAAACACGTGAACTTAATTGTCTAATAAGAAATCCACCGTGATTAAACTAAAGTATATCATTGTGATGACCCAAAATGTCATCTTTAAATTAAATAGTCATCTCGGTGTTTTAAAACATTGAAAAGCGCTATTAATTATCTCGACTTGCATGCGCAGTCCGTATAATTTTCCGAAAAGTTTTTATGTGAAAAATAGATTAAAATGTGAATTAGAGCTTTCAAACTCAACTGAGTTGACTTCGGTCAATATTTTGTGCAAACAAACCCGGATCCGAGTTTTGACCATTCAGGTAGTTCCGTATCGTGATTTGGACTTGGTCATATGCCCGAAATCGAATTCGGAGGTCCCTAGCTCAAATTATCGCCATTTAATGGAATCTAGAAATCTAAGGCTAAAGATTTCTTAAGTTTGACCGGATATTTGACTTTTGAGCAAACGACCCCGGAATGGAATTTTGATGATTCCAATATTTTCGTATGGTGTTTTGGACTTAGGAGCATGTTCGAATTTGGATTTGGAAGTCCGTAGGACAATTTGACGCATTTTGGCGAAAGTTGAAAAATAGAA